ACACACACAGACAACCCCTCGACAATATGCGTTTTTGCATTGCATAGATGCAAAAAACGCATAAACACACACACACACAAACACAGATAACCCCCGACACACGTTTTTGAATTGCATAGATGCAAACCTAACTGAACCGCGCATCAGGCTTATCGGTGTAAACGTGCGATTTTTGCACAGATTTCCCTGCAGATGTTTATTGCCAAGACTTTTTTTCCGAGAGGCACTTCTAACTAAACGAGCTGACACTGAGCAAATTATCAGAAAGATCTCAAATAAATAAGATCGTGGGCTATGCTCAAGAAATTTCAACAATACTTTAGCTGCTTCGGTTGAGGAGTTACATCAAATTTAAAGTGCTCGTGAGCTACAGAAAAAACGCAAACGTTGCTTTTACATGCGTTTGCCCAAACACGGTCGTGGGTTATGTTGAGAAAATTTCAGCACTCGCGCTGTTTTGGTTGCAGAGTTACGTCAAACTTCACGGGTTCGTACGTGAAATGCGCGTAATACGTAGAAGGAATGTGAAAGCTATTTTCGCTTACATCCACCCGAACATAATCATATGCCGTGCTCAGAAAATTTCTGCACTGTAGCTGCTTTTAGCTCCGAAGTTACAAAATGCCTGCATCAAATTTCACATACCCGTACATACCAGATGCAGAGAGGAGCGGAAACTTAATTTTTTAGCGTCGTAGAATTACAGCACTTTAAGAGCTTTCTAATTAATTTGATTCTCGTATGAGAATAGTGTCAATCTGAATTTTGACGCGTATGTACGTGAGATCTAAGTGATCTGTGAAGGCTGAATTTAAATTTTTTGGGCTGCAAACGAGCGTGGAACACCTTCGTAGCTTCAGCTTTCCAACTTATTTGGTTCTCGAAATCATTTTACCGCCAAAAAATATTTTATGTGTCCAAACTTGAGAACTAAGAGGAAATGGAAGATCATTCTGCCACTAGGAATTTGCTAACAGTGGTAGGCAAAGTTGCCGAAATTTCAACCTGATAGGCTTCGTAGGCCTGCAAACCGAAATATGCGGAGACGCACACAAACACTCACAGCATACTCCTTTACAATACGTGTTTTCTGCACTGAAGATGCAACCCAGACTGGAATGCACCAAGCGGGTTGGTGCGGTCATGCGTTTTCGCACTATTTCGTACTGTAGCAAGATCGCAAGAAATCAGAGTAGCTAGAACTTGTGACATACAGGCCCTCGAAGTTCAGGAAGTTAATTGTGCAGTTATGTGGTGTACTGCTTTAGATGTCGGCTTCAATGACCCGAGAAACGGAAAGTTGCTGGTGCGCGAAAAAGAACCCACCAGAAGAGCTGAATCTGAAATCTTCTGGTCGTACATGAGTAGGGAACATCCCTTCAAAATTCCAGCTTCCCAGCTTTTTCCCTTCCGAGTTAAACAGTTCGACCACCAAAAGTTTTACATGTCCGCTCGTCGAACTCAAACGGTTTTAAGGAGCTAAATTTGAAATATTTTGGTTGTACATGAGTAGGGAATACTACCTTAAATTTTCAGATTTCTAGCTTTTTTCGTTCTCGAATTAACAATTTTCCCACCAAAATTTTCACTTGTCCGTACGCGAGACATAGACGTATGTAACAGTTGGAGTCGCATTTCTGAGGTCGCACTTGGCCAGAGAACACGGTGGCAAAATTTTAGAATCAAATTTTGCGTGACTACCAAGTAGAAATGCCCGGAGAGACGAACACACACATAAATACATGCATCGGGGCGTCGCAACAGGCGTATTTACCGCCTGTTGCAGCGCTCTAGCGCTGCAACAAGCAATAAACAGAGGTGTGCACCAGAGCAGCCGGTGCGACCACGATTGCCTGGTAATGATTTTCATTGCTTTTCACTTTGGTCTGTGCAAAAATAGTTAAAATGTCAGGTTCTCAAGTTGCGGAATTTCCCACTAGAAATTTCACGCACATGAGATAATAACTTCTCTGTCAAAACTTCCACGGGGCTGAACGCGGTA